TTTAAATGTTATTAATGAGAAAAGCAACAAAAGTTGTTCCTTTACCTGGTGTAGATTTCACCTAAAATGTGAAGTCAAGCATATCTTTAAGTATGTTTTTGAGCTTTTACAAAAATGTAGGCTGAAGCACATACTTTCAAAGAGCTTGTATAATTCCATATACTGATGGCAAAAGGTTACTATAAGCAACACAAATGGTCAATTATAAAAGCAGCTTCTCATTTTCTAATTGCTTTTGTTCAAACTGGCTTGTAGATTCACTTATTGTATGAGATCAGTGCCAAAAGACGAATCGATTTTAATCTATTATAGCCCCATTATGACTGTGCATGGACATTCTCTACTTTATCAAAAAGACATCTAGGCTTCCCATTTCATCTCACCAGCAATGAGCCAGAGATATGCAAGGAAAGTGTACAATAGCAAATTGCACTGGATTACTCAGAGCAGGCCTTTATTTCAATCCAAATCAATCAGTTCGCGGTCTTGTGCAAAGATTGCCGTGTGCCAAGAGCCTGTAACGCACCCGTGAGTCAGCTGCCCCGTCAGGCAGCCTGCAACAGAGAGAACCATTTAAAGGAGCAGTTCACACAAAAATGAAAATGCTGTAATTATTTACTCATCCTTTTGTTGTTTTAGCCTTTTGGGCTGTTTGATGACCATGAAGGGTTAAAACTAAAAAGATGTTTTTATTTGTGCATTATAGCTGTCTGTTAGCCTATATTGAGTTTGTTTAATATATTCATATATTTATATTATATACTATAAATGTAAATACAATTTATGTTGATATAAAGTAGTTTGACATCTTAAACACATCTGAAAAATACTGCAGGACATAAAGTGCATAATCCAATTAAACAGGAGATGCTTTGATGCATTGATTCATTCATTCATTTTCTTGTCGGCTTAGTCCCTTATTAATCCGGGGTCGCCACAGCGGAATGAACCGCCAACTTATCCAGCTAGTTTTTAAGCAGCGTATGCCCATCCAGCCGCAACCCATCTCAGGGAAACATCCACACACACATTCACAAACACACTCATTCACTACGGACAATTAAGCCTACCCAATTCACCTGTACCGCATGTCTTTGGACTTTGGGGGAAACCGGAGCACCCGGAGGAAACCCACGAGAACGCAGGGAGAACATACAAACTCCACACAGAAATGCTAACTGATCCGAGGCTCGAACCAGCAACCCAGCGACCTTCTTGCTGTGAGGCGACAGCACTACCTATTGCGCCACTGCTTCGTCCGCTTTGATGCATAATATGATAATAATAAGAAATAGTGAACATACTGTATAGGTTATATCTATGCTAAATAGTTATAACTAAAATATACATTTGCTGTAATATTTTGGGTTGGACAATAAATGTAATTAAACAATTTAAAACATACTAATAGCATACTGGTGTCATTTTATGATAGCAGTAACGGTAAAGCAACTCTTTCAATGGGGTAAAACAGGATTTATCTAAATGTAAAATACAGAAATGCTGTCTATCACTAGTAAAATAGAAAATACAGACTTTATTGCCATCAGCCAACTCTATTCTGTGTAAAATGTCATTAAATCAGTGTACAGTATATGAAATAAACTAAAATACTAGTTATGGCAAATGTTTTTATGCAGTGGCGACGTGAATTATGTTACACGTTTTAAATTAATAATAATAAAAATTCAACACCCAAGTGTATATATGTTTCTTGTCTATTACAATGGATAACAGTAAATAATATTTTACTAGATATTTTTCAGGAAGTTTCTACACAGCTTAAAGTGACATTTAAAGGCATAACTGGTTAATTAGGTTAACTAGGCAGGATAGGGTAATTAGTAAATTTATTGAATAATGATAGTTTGTTCTGTAGACTAATGAATAATTACTAATAATTTTGACCTTCATCCTTCTCATCACTCCACATAATACCCACATCTGAGATATTTCCATCTGCTAAATGGTCAAGAACTTGATATATGCTCAAGATCTGTATACTCTGCATATGACATTGTTTTAGCATACAGCAGGTACATCGATATAGTTTTTTAAATATATATATATATATA